GAATGGCAGAGAGATTTACAGAATAATACAGCTTGGACTAACAATGAGGGCACAGCCTGTGGAGAGCTAGCCGTTGCTTTTAAGAGAAGTCTGTCTTTGGCTATGCCAGAAGCACTGCAATCTTATTTTAAGGGCTTTTGGCTGTGGTGGACTATGTCTAAGACTAGGGGGTCCAGAGAAAACCCCATCCTTAGTAACCTTTGTCAGTAGGGAGACTTCTCATTGAATCTACTCCTTGGGTTTGACCCTGTATCTTGATTTGATCCTTCTTAGGTTTTGAAGAAGGGAGATGGGAGAAATTCATCCTTCTTGGATTTTGAAGGGAAGGTGAGGGTTAAAGAAAGAATCTGAAAGAGCTCACAGTGCCATGAGACAGGACAGAAATATATTAAAAGGAAAAAAAAAAGTTGGCGGCTTAACAGCAACACAGGTTTATGGCCAGGACAAACCTGTGGAGGGGGGACAAGCTTAGTGTCAGAGCGTGCATCCTGCTCACAGACTGGAATAGTTATTTTAAGAATAAAAGAGGAAAGCCACACGAAGGGTGGCTGGACAGTCAATAGGGACGAGTTTAGACAAACCTGAGAGGGGCTGCGGGCTGAGTTAGGCCACACTCTTACAAACTAAGGATATTTAAGGGTTTTGGAAGGTGACTTATCATAGGTTCAGAATGTTTCATGTGAGGGAAATTTTATTGCAGGGTGGGAATATCTCTGGTCGGAGAGGAGGCTATCTTGGGGTTGGCATGTTTCTGATCAGAAAGGGGTTTATCTTAGGGTTGGAATGTTTCTGGGTATGCTGACATTAGCCATTTGGCTGATGTTTTGGGGCTGGATTTAGGCAGCTTTTAATTAAGGGGGAACTTAGAATGGTGGTATTCAAGATGGCAGTGCTCCTGCTCTGTCAGTTACAGGTCTGGATGTGGGGAGGGAGGGCAGTATGGCTTGCTGCCCAGCATGTTGATGAAGCTGTTTCTTGGCTCTTTGTCCAGCAGGATGTGATAGGGATGTTCCTGTAGTTAGGTGGTTAGGCAGTATTGTTTTTATGGCTCGAACCCTCATGGAATGTTTTACTCTGATCAGGGTTTATGAAATGTCAGGAGGGTTACAAAATGGTGCAGGGTATCTTGGGGTTTAAGCGCACATCCCTCAGAGAAGACCTTGTTGGTTTTCTCCTTACAGAACCTGATGTAAGTGAACAGCTCCTGGGGGGGGGGGGTACATCTCAATAGGGAAATTATTGAGCTCCCAATGTTTTTGTGAAGCTGTTTTGCCATCTATGAAATAATTACTGCTCTGCCCCCTCCTGGGGTTGTTAGAGACCCAGTGAGATACTAAAAGCATGTTTAAAGCATGTAAGGTCTGCAAATGCAATAAAGTGTTGTCAGAAAGCCCAGCTCACGTGGCTTTGGGGGCCACTGGTAAGAAAATTGGAGGCAGCCTGTTCTGTCCAGAGCCTCCTGTTGTTAATTTCTCCTCACTGTACCCTTTACCAGGAAGGCTGTGTCACTTTGATCAACTGCCAGTCTGTTTTGGCTCTGCCCTGAGTCCAGGGACCTGGATTTGAAACCTGCATCTGTCGCTTATTAGCTGAGTGATCTTGGGCAAGTCATTTCAGCTCTTTCCTGCTTAAGTAGAGCTAAGACAGCCTATGAGTGAAACTATATAAACCAAGGCATTGCTGGCTGCAGTAGGAGGCAGCTGCTCTGAGGGAGAAGCCCTGGCCAGGAATCTGTTAGAGACAGATTATTATTTTGTCACCAACTGGAATGGCCTTGGGACAAAGCACAGCAACTGTCTTGATCTCATCAATATCCTTGACTTAATCCCTTGTGTCGTGCTGTGTCATCTTCAACATCGGTCACTTCCATCAGCCTTAGCATTGGCCTTGGCCTCAGTTTCTTCATGTTTGACTTGAGGGTGATGATTCTCATAGGAAGCAATAAGCTTGGGGTAAAGAAGCTATTGGGTCACATTACACTTTAAATGCATTTAAGTGGGGTCTTCAGTTTATAAAGATTAGCAGATTGCATGGTGTGAGAACAGAGCCATGGAGAATGTTTGAGACCCCATTGATAGCTGATAAGAGGATCATCAGTGAGCACTGGGAGGGGAGGACTGAGTCTTGAAGAGTTGGAGGGGAAGATTGAGTCTTGGGTGAAGAGTTGGAGGGGAGGATGGGTCTTGGGTGAAGAATCGGAGGGGAATATTGAGTCTTAGATGAAAAATTGATTGGAAAACAAAACTGAACAGAAAACCAGGGCATCATTGACACTGATGAGTAATTTTTTTCTATATAAAATGATTATTTAGATTAAGAAATGACAAATTTTGAAAAGCTGACAAACACCACAAACTCCAGGAAAAAAAAAAATCTGACATTTTTACTAAGTGCCAGAAACAACTTCTCATTTAAAATATTCTGTTCCCTCATATTTTTTGGCCGCAGACTCTTTGATCACATTTTTGTGTGACAGTGATTTTGTAATATTTCCTACGGAGAGAATAGAAAGACAATTCTGTCTCTCCTTTGGCAGTAGGCATATCCCTGTGAGGTAGGAGATCAGCAGGACTTTTCCAAGCACAGGTTAAAACCCTGCTGATCAAGACATGACATAATAATAAAGAATAGCCAAAATCAGCTCAGATTAGGAATTATAATGCATTTGCATAAGATACACCCACCAGGGCCATGACAGTTTACAAATGATGCCATGGCAATAACCCAGGAATGATTTTATATGGTTCCAGGGACTTCTCGTTTCTTTTCCAGAAAGTTCATGAATAACCTGTCCCTTATTTAACATATAATTAACAGTGGGTATAACTATAGTTTGCCAGAAATATTGGAGTGCTGTTCTACCTATGGGTTCGCCCAGCTCTGTCTATGGAGCAGCAAACTGGAATATACTCACTTTGCCTTCAGTTTTCTCTGTGTTTCTGCTGCTGAATTCGTCACGGCGCAAAGCCAAGAACCCTCCCCGGCTGAGTCCCAGTATGGGAGTTCACCTGCATCAACCAGAAGCCTTTTATGCTCAAAGATAACTATAGCAATTTAAGTAGATACAGAAGTGACTTCCAAGCCCGGAAATCTATCCCACTAAACCCATGCAAGATGATCCCCCAATTTTGCCTTCTCAGCCATATCCAAAATAGCCACAGCCATTGCAACAGGACAGGTATGTGACAGAGGAAGAATGTGAACTGAGACAGTGGGCCTCAACCAACAAGTATCTTCCACATAATTTCCAAAAGCACATGACAAAAGCATTGATAGGACTCCTCCCAAGGCAGAGGGCCCCAGAACGGTGAACATAGTGTGGTCTTTTAAGCCACCTCCACTCTGAATAATTGCAGCTGAACCCGTTGCAGTCCCCTCTTCCCCCAACGCGTCCCATCTCACCCTCTCAACACATACAGTGGGGAGGCTCTGAGATTTGTACCCAGCCCCCAAAAGAACCCTCCTCTGAGTAGGATGAGATTCTCTGGCCCTGAGCCGGGCTCTAGCCTGCTCTGTGTTCTCCTGCACATGCACAGGAGGCTGTCAAAGCTGAACTTTTAACCCCAGGTGCACTTCTTGAAAGAAGGCAGAGTGGGAGCCAGAAAAAGCACCTTGGATCCTATACATGCCTTTGGGAACCCCAAGGGAACTCTCGGGGCTCCATGTCTGGTCACCTTTACACTGCCTTATAAGACTGTTGGGAGGAGCTATTGAAAACTCTTGCATAAAACTCTTGCATAAAAAGCATGGCAGCAGGGGAGGGGAAGAGGGAGAGAAAATGAGTAGAATAATCAGGAATACACTGTAGTTTGGAAGGGAGGGCAGTTAGGGAGGGGGCACCAGCTCAGGCCATCCTACTGTCCCCCTGCCGCTGTGCCGGAGGCTGGCCCTGCCAGGAAAGCCTCATACTTTACCTCAGTTTCCCCTTTAAAGCAGGGCTGCTAATTCCTACCTCACAGGGTGGTCCTCATGAGGATAACACGAGGTAACACCTGGGGAAATTGCTTGGGAAATTGGAAAAGTCCACTCACCCCTCATGACCCTTTTGGCCAAAGTGTGGAAGTGGACTCAACAGGCCCTGGACCCAGGCCTGGGCCTGACCTTACCTGATTGGGAAAATGGTTATGGCCTTTACTCAACACTGACCCTGCCTTAGGAGGACGAGCCCTGCCCAGGCCAACCTCCTGCACCCCGATGGAGGCAGGCACCGTCAGAACCCTGGCTTGAGAGTCAGAGGAACTGAGCTCAACACGTGGGCACCCTAGAACCTGCGCCTGGAAAACTGAGTTGCTGTCCTGATACAGCCAAGCCCCCGCTGCTGGGTTTGCCTGGCCTGCCCCTCCAGGGGCCTGCAGGGAAGAGAACCGCTGAGGTTGGGGGGACCAAGAGGAGGGTCCCTCAAGGGTAGAAAGTGCATGCAGAAGGATACTCAGCAGGGGCTGCAGCAGGGGGGCTCTGGGAGCCCACCAGGCAGGGATCAGCAAGGGGTCTGACTCAGCAAGGGACTGCAGGGCCAAAGTCTCACTCAGTCTCTGGGCCCAGGGATCAGGGTTGCCAATTCCCTGCAGAGGCCCCAGCAGCAGGGGACTGCAGACTCACAGCATGGACAGTGGGTGGTATCCTTTGTTAGCTCTCCTCTTCCCTCTCCCGATCCCCATGGCCTCCACTATCAGAACATACCCTGCCTCTTGTAATATGGACAGAGTGGGTCGTTTAAAAAAATTACCTAAAATGATAGTTCAGGGTTCATTTTAAGAAGAGAAAATAGGTATAGGATATAGAAAATAGGTATAGGTATCTGGAACAGGCTTGTGGAAGTCAGGGGAGTGATGCTGAGGCTGACTATCGCGTTGGGGATGAAAAAGAGGGAGGAGTCCCGGGGGAAGGGTGGGGACCACATAGGCCAGCACTTCTTAGGGCCCAGAAGAAGGCAGGAGGTCTGATCTCATCAGCAGCCAGTTGGGAGCTCCCTAGGGGTCTGGGGTGATGGAGAGAGACCTTCACAAGTTGGGCAGCCTGCGCTGCTTCACCCTAGATTAGAGGGGGCACCACTGGACACCCACCTGGTAAAGCGGCCAAATTCCAAGGGAACACGCAAGGAGCTGAGTTGAAAATGCCACCTGCTCCTGAACTTAGGGGTCAGTGATATTGCTGCTACTTGCTAAGCCCAGTTGCCCCTGTATTATCCACTCCCCCTTGGAGACCTGGGGACAGCATAGACTCCCCCCACCGAGGACTTAGAATGGGTCAGCCTTCAATGCTATTTAATTCCAAGGGTAGCTTGGACCCCAAACTACAAATTCTTTTCCTACTCTTCCTACTTTCCCATCCTAAATTAGGTCCAACCTCAGAGTTCAAATTTGGGTCAGAGGTTCTGCAAATATATAAAATGCCAGATACCCAGATACAAAGTCAACCTAGAAATGTCTTTCATATATTTCCTAAGGTCAAATTCGAGTCAAAAAATTAAGTTCCCTTGCCCTTTTAAGTTAAAGTCCAAAGGGAAAAAAGAGTCTTAAGGTCAAAGGATTCAAGCCCAAAGCATTCAAAGAGAGCCCAGAGTTTGTCAGAGCCCAGTGGTGTGAATTTCTCTCCAAGGCTCTGTTCTTACCTACCCAGTGGGTGCGGGAGGGCTGGGTGGCTCAGCATATTCACTAGCCTGCCATGTGCTCCAGTTTTAAAAGACCTAGAGTTGCTAGGAATAACCAGATGGTGACAGCCTCAGCCTTCTGCTCACCAACTGCAGGGAAGTCCTTAGAGCAGCCTGAAGGCCATGAGATGTGTCCAGGATCTAGGACCCAGCGCCGTGTAGACCTCTCTTCCTGCCACCTAGGTAGCCCAGCAGGAATGCCCTGGCAGCTGACGGAGGGAGAGTAGACAGGGAAGACAGTCAAAGCCTAGACCCCACAGCAGAGCTGACCAGGTGTAAGGTTATAGCATTAGCCCCGGCAACCCCGCTGGGTGAGCAGGAAGGAACTGTCCTCCTCCTTGAGCGTATCATCACCTGCCTGGGTCTTATTTATAATACCTTCTCCTGTTCCTATGTGTGAAATCTCATCATTTCCACTTCCCTGTGTGTGCCCATTGCATGGGTGTCTTCGGCCCTAAGAGATCCTGCCCCAGGCTGTGGAGCGCAGCCTGGCAGGTTGCTGAGCTGAGGGCCGTGGAGCAGCGGCTGTGTTCCACTGGCTCTGAGGACGCTGGCTGTCCTCCACTGGGGGTGCTCCCGGCCCTGAGCAGCATTGTGTCTGCAGCACACTTGTCAGCAGTTAAGGACATATGTCCACAGCAGTTCTTCCTCACGCGGCTGCTGGCAGCCTTCACACGGAGGGCTGATCATTTGTGTTCAAGCCCAGTGCCTTCCCTCCTTTTACTTTCTCTTTGCTTTCTGGCCTGTATATTTACTTTTTCTGACATATTCCTCTAGATTTTGTCACTTGGGGGTCTCCCCTGGCAACAGAAAGCAAAACCAGGAAACCCCAGGTTTGCCATATGAATCACTGTTGAAACAGTCCCACAGCTGCACCCAAGAGATGGCGGTCATGGCCACCCTCCCTGCCATCAGCCCTTCTCTACTGACTGGCCGTGCTCTCCTCAGGGAGGACAACACTGAGCCCTCCTTGACACCGAATCCCTACATTTAAAAAATGCATTCCCTTGGGGCCCGAGCAACTCCAGACACCCACCCGCAGTAACTGTGCTGTACCCAAGTGTACCCCAAAATATTTTCAATGTTTGATATTGATTTCCTGTCCTTGAATTTGCCCAAATTCCCTACAGCCTCTCAGAGCTGCCCTGGCTCGTGGAACTGCCTCTGGTTCTTACAGAGTCCCTGTCTGTAGCATTGAATGGCCCCCTCAAGAGTGCTCGGAGTCACCTGGCTCCCTGGCGATGACCTTGTCTATTCCCAAACATCTGCCCTCCCCTGGCATCAGGGAGCTTTCCTGTCCCCTGAGATGGTCTGGCCCACTGCGGGGCCCCACGCCCCTTCATTTCTGCTCAGCCTGCTCCCATTCTAAGAGTAAGACTGTGGTGTGTTTTTCAAACCATTCCAGTTCCTTCTGGATCTCCCGAGTAAACCCAATTCCCTGGGACAGACGGTTCTCAGCACAAGCCATTTGTATGGCCCTTGCTAGCTTTGGGATGTGTATTAATTTCATTGTTTCTCTGTCTCAACCCGAGAAAGTAGCATATTCTCTGAAGGGCCCAATTCCTTTTAATACTGTTCCATTAACAAACTCTTGCCCTCTGTGGGCAAAGCCACGACTTTAGTCTCCCAACTCTTGGGTCAAAATGTATGTAATAGCCGTGCACGGTGGCTCATACCTGTAGTCCCTGTAATATTCTGGAATGCCAAGGTCGGAGGATCACTTGAGGCTGGCCTGGGGAAATCGTGTCTCTACAAAAGTAAAAATATAATTAGCTGGACATGGTGGTACAAGACTATAGTCTCAGCCACTCAAGAGGCGGGAAGATGGCGTAAACCCAGGAGTTCAAGGTTACTGTGAGCTCGATCACACCACTGCATTGTAGCATGGGCAACAGAGACCCTGTCTCTGAAAAGAAAAAACAAATAAAAACAAACTGTAAATAAAAACAAAAGGCACATCTGCAGCCAAGCTGAGTCGCACAGAGGAGACAAACTCTGCAGACCTAGGGATGTGCTTTGTGGGTTCAGGAGGGACCCTCCCCAGTCCCTGTTCTGGCAGGAGGCTTTGGGGACAGCTCATCTGGCACAACTCACTATGGGTGGCACAAAACTCATACCAGAGCGCCCTGGCCCCTTTCTGCATTTGCAGCTGGAAGTGGTGACCTCAGACCTGGCCGAGAACACAGTAAAGGCAGCAAGCCTGGGCCTTCTCTCCTCCATTCGTGCCTCAGAGGTCTGGACTCTTCTGTAGCCTCCTCTGCACTGTCCCTGTTTGGATCAAGGGAGGCCCGTGTGGGACTCAGAGAACATGGATCTGAGCTGTGAGCCCTCCCAAAGCACTGTCTTGAGCTGCCCAGGTCATACCCCCCATGTGGACCTTGCTTTATATCAGCAAGGTGGACCCTCCAGCCTGGGCCACTAGTTAAAAGCCAACCCTAAGACTGTAAGCACCAGCTCACAGCTCCAAAGCACTGTGGGGAACTGCCAAGGCCAGAAGCCAGCGTGGTCCCCATGAAGCCTCCGTGCACACATCAGGCATCCCCAAAGCCTCAGACTTTATGTGGTTACTTGTGAGGACTCAAAGCTCAAAGCCTCTGCTGGATTTAAGGGGGCTTAAACAGAACACACCTTTCTTCCCATTCCAATCCTGGGGTCTCCACCACAGTTGTGAGGTCATAGCACATGCCAGAGGGCAGGGAGCACACAGCAAAGCAGGGCCCAGAAAAACTAGGTGGGGGTCACTAAGGGGGTGCTTGTTCAGGGCCATAAGCACCTCATGGGGAAACGAGGTGAGGAAGAAGGGCCTCCACTGCCAGCAGAAACACTTTAGTATTTCAGTTCAGCTCAGGGAGGCTGGGGTGGGCTGGGGAGAGGCCAGCAAAGTGGGAACAGCTCCCTGTATGGGCCAGTGTGGGCAAGGTCTTAGAGGGATGGGGCAGTTGAGCAGCGCCTCTGCATGGCACAGTACCCAACAGTCGCCCTGGTGGTGGTGCTCTTCACTTCCTTCTGTATGTTAACTTTTGTATCAGGGAATATAAGATACACACAGAAAAATGCCTAAGTTTTAATAAGTATACATAGTCACTTGTAAGAAGAGAGAGAAAAATACTGCAGCACCCCATCACCTCTCTAATGCCCCTGGCCAGGGGAACCGCTGTCCTGACCATGATAGAAATCATTTCCTGGTTTTCATCACGATTTTCCCACCTACACATGGTCCTCTGAACAATGTAGTTTGGGGAGTCTTGTTTTCAAACTTTATATAAATGGAACTGCATTATATCTGTTGGCTTTTGCTCAATATGTTTATGAGATTTGTCCGTGGTGATGTTTGTACCTATAGCTTGTTATTTTCACTGCTGTTGAATATTCCATGAATGAATAAGTATAATTTATTCTATTCTTGATGGACATTGGGTTGCTTCCAGATGCAAGTTTCTCCAGGATAGATACACCTAGGAAGTGGGATTGTGGGCATGTTAGTCACAGCTGATGGGGCTGGTAGTGATATGCATGGTGGTTCTTATTTCCCTGATTTCTACTGAGGATAAACGCCTTTTCCATCTGGATATTCTGTTTTGTGAAGTGGCTTCTAAAGTCCTTTGGTCAGTTTTTATAGGATTTCCTAGTATCTGTTGGCATTTCTTGTATGTTCTGGGTAGGAGTCTTTTGTCCATAACGTTGAAGTAGGAGATCAGCAGAACTTGTTTCCCAAGCAGTGGTCAAGACCTTGGTCACGACCCTGCTGATCAAAACAGAATCTGGTTAGAACAGGATGCAGTAAAGAAATCAGCTGAAACCAAGATGGCGACAAAGGTGACCTCTAGTTGCCCTCACTGCTTGTTATATGCTGGTGATAATGCATGCTAAAAGACATTCCCACCAGCACCATGACAATTTACAAATGCCATGACAGTACCCGAAAGTTATCTTATGTGGTTTAAAAGGTGGAGGAACCCTCAGATCCAGGAACTCTGGGTCCCTTTTCTAGAAAATTCATGAATAACCTGACCCTAATTTCACATATAATTAAGAAGTAGCTGTAAATATAGATAGCTGGTAGTCCAGGAGCGTTTCTCTGCCTATGGGGTGGCTCTCCAAACCCCACCCATCTGTATGGGTGCTCTGTTTATGAAACCCGCTTTTCTGTGCTCTGCTGCTCTCACAAACTTGCTTTGCTTTCACTTTTCTCTGTTGGGTCACTCCCAAATTACTTCCTGTGCAAAGCCAAGAACCTTCTCAGGCCAAGCCCCAATTTGGGGGCTTACTTGCATTAAGATGACTTGCAGAAACTGTAGCATGTCTTTTATTCTTTTGGTGTCTTACTAATATCAGTGTGTCAATCTTTCCTTATTGTATGTACTTATTTTACCTTACTTAAATCATAGAGATGATTTTCTTCTATATTAATTTTCAGGTCTTTGTGTGGTCTTTTCTTTATGGCTCTAATCTTCATAGAACTGACTTTTGTGTAGGATTTAAATCGGGTCCAGTTTGATCTTTCTGCTTACATGGTAGCCGGCTGCCCAGAACCCCTAGTTGAATAGTTCTTCATTTCGCATGGATTTCAGTGCTCCCCCAGTCTCATATTGTGTCCATGTGTGTGGAGAGGTCTGTTTCTGGATTACTCTCTTTTCCACTGGTCTGTTTGCCATGTTCTGATTCCACTTTGCCTTAATTGTATAGCTTGACAATGTGTCTTGACATTGAGGAAGCAAGTCCTCACACCTTGCCCTCTTCAAGAAAATGTTTTGACTCTTCTTGGTCATTTAGAGTCTCATATAAATGTTGGAATTAGGTTGTCAATTCCCATAGAAAAATCTGTTGGAATTTCAACTGGGACTGTGCTGAATTATCAACCAGGTAGGAGAACTGTTACCAGCACAATCCAGAGACACGGTCAGTCTCTTTGTTTATTTAGGTCTCCAATGACCTTAAAGGTGTTACTTTTCTCTGTAGATGTTCTCTTTAGAGTTCATCTTGGATTCATTTCTAGGTCCAAGAAATTTTTTTTTCTTCACCTGCTCACACGATTTTATTTTAGTCATCATTAGTGAAGCTTCTTTATCTGAATCCTGGTTTTTATTCACCTCCTCTTGGATTGGATCCATGGAGTTCTCTCCATGGGTGTCTAGGTCTTTGTCCTTCTCTGAAGCTCCTTCCAATATAGTTGGATTTTGATTCTTCTCTTAGACTGGATCCATGGATTTCTCGTCAAGTTGTTCATTCTTCACTCCATTTGAATTTATTTTCTTATCCTTCCCGTAGTAAAACACTGATGTTGTTGGGTGTTTTGATTTTTTAAAGTTGGTTCTGATGTTTTTGTTCTTTTTGAGTTTGGTTCAGAGGCCAAGACTCTGTTTGGTGTCTCCTGTGTCTTGTCATTTTCGTTGTTTTTTTATCTCACAGGGGCTCTTCCTCTTTCCCCCACTGGTACTACTTGCCTTTAGATGTTCCATGATGTTACAGAATGTCTATAGTATGCTTTCCAAGAGGGTAAGCTTGCACAGCTGTGTAGAAACTTCCTAGTGGGGTCACAAGAAACTTTAAAAAAAATTTTTTTTTGTATAGACCAGGGTCTCACCATGTTGCTCAGGCTGGTCTTGAACTCCTGGCCTTGGCCTCCCAAAGTGCTGGGATTACAGACATGAGCCACTGCACCCAGCCAGGAAATTTATTTTCTATTGCTCGCCCACAGCCCCCACCACATCTCCTGTGTCTTCATGAGATCATATATTCTGTATGGTATCTGTAAAGTCATCTCTTATTCTGAGAAATGTCCATTTCTGCATCAATACTTTTCGCATGTATTCTAAATATATTTTGTCTTGTCTGTCTGGTATATAGGCTATTGTAGTTACTTGACCTGTGCCAAAATGTTAAATGTGTAAGTTCTTGTCCTTCATGTCTTCTTCTGGCTTTTTATTCACTAATAAGTCATCAAGGTCCTTACTGTCAACGTTAAGAGATGCGCCCTCTCAATACTTTGACATGGCAGTATAGGGATTCCAAAGCAGGAATCTTCTTTTTTGGTACTATGTTTTTGTTTTGGTTGGCAGTTCACTAAGGACTCATCCCATCATGCTATGAGGGACTCTTCTTGGAAACAGGGTTCCTTTCCAGACTCTTCTCAGCACGTAGCTCTCACTCATGCTTTTCTGTAAGATGGGGTGCTCTTACAGATGGTTGGGGTTTACAGGCTTAAAGTTATTCACCTCTTTTTATAAGACATTATTGCCTTATTTCTTTTTGAGAAAACAAATTCTAGAGAGCTGGGGGTAATCTGTTCCACAGCCCCCTGTATGGGCCAGTGTCTGGCACCATCTTAGAGGTATGGGACAGCTGGGCAGCACCCAGGGATTTGGTCTGGGTCCCATTGCTTGACGCACAGCCAATCACTGCAGGGAAGAAGGCGTCTTGAAACCATCTCCCTGACCGACTAAAATGGGACGGTTATGTAGCAGTGGAAAGGATATAGCTATGCTTGGGAAGGAATTCGGGAAGGGTAAGAAAGCAACCATGATAAAAGAGGATCCAGTGTCTCCCTGTCTGGAGGCAGTGATCTGGTGAATTTGAGAGAGGATTACCCTGTGGAGGGAGGCCACAGGACAGAGCCTTCTCTCTGGAGCCCTTTGGCATGCTTTGAATTTGAGCCATGTAAATCTATTACCTATTAAGCTGAGAAGAGAGCTAGGTACACAAGAAGCCAAGTCACTGAGGGACATGGGGGATGAGGCTTCTCATTTGTAACCTTTCAGTTTGGTGCCCTATCTGGCTGTTTTGGGGGCTAAACTGTGAGTCCAGACCCCATGCTCACCAGATGAGGGCTGAGGTTCCAGGGCTGAAGGGACAGAGTCAGTTTCCAAAACTGACAATCTCTGTCTCTTTTACATGGGCTTCAAACACAAATGAAATGGCTTGGCTTCACTCGCCAGGAGGGGAAATGTGGGCAGTTGGTTGGTGGGTTGACATTGTACTCCACATTAGTCTTGGAAATCAGGTAGGGAGGCCCGGGCCCAGAGGACTAAGACTTGGCTTTGCCACTGCTCAGCCTGGAAAGGGACTGAGATGGCAGAAGAGGGCTTTATAGAAATCCTGGAAATCTCCCAAGCTCCAGTGATCAGCTGATCTCTCACAGGTAACCGGAAAACCACTCTGATATGAGGGTTGGCCCTGTGTTAATTTAATCTACTGCATTAGAGGCAGTAGGGTTGTCCCATTGCCTGCCCTGTTAGCTCCTGTTAGTGGTTAGAGCCAGCCCGTCAGTGTGGGGCTGGGGGGGAGCGGTTCACTGGGAACGCATTTCAGTTGCATCCCACCAGGGGCTGAATACAGCTCGGCTCGCTGGCTGCACACACCAGCCTCACTGGTCTCCTAGCACTTCCCGGCTCCATCTGGAGACTTCTAAGTCGATACTTGACCACACTTCCTCATTGTCTCTTTCCCTACCACCATATCCACTGCCATCAAGGCTGGCCGTGGGATAGGGGTCAATGGGGACAGGTGTGGGATGCAGCAGCTGCCCTCTCCAGCAGGCAGGCCGGTTGTAAGTCCCAGGGGACTTGGAAATGCTTTGGGCAGGGCGAGTGGATAGGTAGGCCCCTGACCCACATAGATACCTCTTCGTCCTTGGAGTCCAAGGAGCCACGAACTTGTGGATGCCCCCAGGGGGCCACAGAACCTCAGACACTCACCTGTTTTTGGAGGGCAGATCTCCCACCAACCCTCCCGCCCTCACACAGCAGGTGCCCAACCTGCCCTGCCCAACTCCTCGGCCCTCAGAGACTCCAACTTGCTCATGTGAGGCCACGGGGCCCTTGTAGGGGGCATGGCATTGAGTGTACGGCCATGCCCTGGACTCTGGGGTCAGTGTCCTCATCTGTGAAATGAGGGAGTTGGACTAGATGCCCACGGGGCCCCATGCCCCTGCTGTCCCTATGGGCAGCACAGCTGGACTGTTGAGGTGGGATGGGGTTGGGGGACCAGCCAAGGCTAGGTGGGGCGTGGGGCCCGAAGGGGAGGAAAAGGTTGTGGGGGGAACCCAAGGGCAAAGCTCAGCCTCAGGCCTTTGGAGGCTGGGGGGACCCAGGAGCTCAGGAAATGTGACAAAGACCAGGGCCGAGGAGGGTGCCTCTTACACCACAGGTACTCCCATCCAAGAAGGAAACCTCAAGCCTGAAGCATGGGCTCCACCGCCCACCAGGTGGGGGGTCTCTTCCTCACACCGTTTGACTGCCCTAGGACTGTAAAGCTTATTGTCTGTAGGTTTATTGCTGAGTTAAAAACGAGGAAACTAAGGCCAGCACAGGAAAATTAGATGCCAATTTATTCAGCTCCCGGGCAAGGTTCCGTGGGCCCGGGGAGAGGGGCCAGGGAAGTCACGCTCGACTCCTCTCAGGAGTGGGATTTTATAGGGAGTGAAGGCGTTTGGATTTGGAGAAACAGGATGTGGACGGGGTGAGCTGCTATTGGTAGGTAGGTGGGATTTCCAAGGCGGGCTAAGTGCTGAGTGCAGAGGGGATTTCCAAGACGGAGCTAGATGATGGGCATATTCTAATAACGTAATTTTCAAGTGGGGAGGGAGATGGGAGTGTCCGAACTCCCAGCGAGACAGCCAGCCTTACATTCTGACCTTTTTGATGATATATAGGACGCCGCTTCTTTCTGGCTACTACCTGCTGAATAGGGGCGAAGTGGGGGGAAGGAGTCAGTTGGCTGGTGCCTCAATTGGGAGTCGGATATAGGGATGAAGCATCATCTGGTTAATGGCCACCATGGAAATTTCTTATGCGGGCCTGTAAAAACTGGGGGCTGGCCGGGCGCGGTGGCTCAAGCCTGTAATCCCAGCACTTTGGGAGGCCGAGGCAGGTGGATCACGAGGTCAAGAGATCGAGACCATCCTGGTCAACATGGTGAAACCCCGTCTCTACTAAAACTACAAAAAATTAGCTGGGCATGGTGGTGCGTGCCTGTAACCCCAGCTACTCAGGAGGCTGAGGCAGGAGAATTGCCTGAACCCAGGAGGCGGAGGTTGCGGTGAGCCGAGATTGCACCATTGCACTCCAGCCTGGGTAACAAGAGCGAAACTCCGTCTCAAAAAAACAAAAGGGGGGCTAGTATTAGTAGAAGACACACAGTAATAACGGGGGTGATAATGGGAGTCAGCCAGGTAAGCATGGGGGATTGCCACCAGTGGAGAGACGAGGCTGGTGCACTCTGCTTCTTGCAGAGGTTCTCTTGGAGACGATAGAGTGTTGACATTTTCGTCCACAAGTCCTGTTTCATTGATGTAATAGCAGCACTGCTTCTGGAGAAACAGACAGGCACCACCTTTTTCTGCCGTTAGTAAGTCTAGGGCCCTTCGGTTTTGGAGAGTTACCTGAGCCAGCGACGTGATTTGTCGCTGGAGGGAGGCTAGAGAGGCGGCTGATGCTCCAATAGCCACACGGAGCTTGCCTTCCAGTTGGGCAGCTGAAGTGACGCTGTAGCCCATGGCACGACTCCCTATTCCAGCTGCTACTAGAGAGGATGCTAAAGAGAGGCCAACTGCTATTGGGAGGAAGACGGCTCGTTTGCTTCGGTGATGAGGGGACAGTGTGAAAAGGGATAGGAACTCAGCTTGTCCGTACACTTCTAACTGTGGGACTAGTGTGACGGGCACACAAGGGAAAGGGAGGGATGCATTAATAACTTTGGTTAGGGTTCCATTTCACCAAAAGTATCCTCCTGGAGGCGCGTAAAAGGGAGGATTTTACTTTTGCCGTGGTGTTGCACCGGAGGCCGGGGCTGCTGGCTGACCCATAGCAGAGACAGAGGCTTTGAGAATGTACATTGAACAAGGGGATACCCATCAAGGTGGTGTCAGGCCCCGTGGGAGATTGTAACAGGTTGAACCCAGTCTGGAGGGGAACTGCGGCTGCGGTTTCCCTGGGGGTGGGAAAGGCTTCAATTCATCCAGAAAAGGTATCTACAAAGATTAAGAGGTAGCAGAGTTTTTTGTGCGTGGGCATATGGGTAAAATCAATTTGCCAGTCTTGGGCTGGCAGATGGCCACGCATTTGGTGGGTAGGAAACTGTGGCCTTAAGCTTCCCCGAGGCGAGACCTCAGAGCAGGTAACGCATGCCTTGTGTACTTGCTTAATTGTCTGTTGCAGACCTGGCAAGAAAAAGAGGGGCTGCACGAAACCGTGCAACGCTTTAGGCCCTATATGTAAGGATTGTGTATTTCAGCAGTGATTTTTTTGGGCCTGTTCCTGGGGTAGGGCGATTTTGTTGTTCAGAAAGACCCAACCCTGATTAGACTCGGTTCCCCCTTTTAATATGAGGGCCTGTTTCTCTGATGGCGAGTAAATTGGCGGCGTGGCCGTGGAGAGAAACAGGACTGGAGTGGGGGCTAGCCTGGTATTGGTTAAGGATTTTGCTGCCCCATCTGCCCTTGCATTGCCCCGGGAAACAGCATCCTGCTGGGCCTGATGCCTCGGCAGTGGACGACAGCGACTTCTTTGGGTAGTGATAGGGCCTGCAGGAGATTAGAGATTGGGGTAGCATTAATTATGGGGGATCCTTTCGTAGCAAGGAATCCCCGCTCTCTCCAGAGGGCAGCATGGCAGTGGGTAATAAGAAAAGCATACTTTGAATCAGTATAGATATTTGCTCACTTTCCCTGTGCTAGCATGAGAGCTTGGGTTACGGCAACGAGCTTTGTCTTTTGTGATGTGGTCCCATCAGGGAGGCGGTGTGCCTCGAGGGTGGCTGAGTCTGTGACTACTGCATAGGTGGCTTTTTGCCGCCCCTCGGGTGTCACTATTGAACTCCCATCTACATAAAAAGTAAGGTCTGGGTTAGATAAGGGAGGGTCAGAGGGGCCCTGCCGAGGCTTAGCAAATGTATCCATTGGTTCAGGGCAGGAATGGGCTGGGGAGGAGGAATGGGATGGAAGGGGAAACAAAGTAGCTGGGTTGAGTGGAGAAGTGGAATGAAGGCTCACTGAGGGATTTTCAATAAAGACTAGACGACACTCCTGTAGGCGAGAGGGTCCTAGGTGAGCGAGAGATTTGTGAGAGAGAAGGTCAGTCGATGAGGAGAAAACACCGAGTTAGGCTGGCCTAAGGTAAGTTTCAGGGATTCCTTGGTGAGTTCTGTTGCCGCCCCCAGGGCCCGCAGGCAAGGCTGCCATCCCGACTGTGGCATCAAGTTGTTTTGATAAGTATGCTACAGGACGATACACGGGACCTGGGGGTTGGGTTAGGACTCCAGCTGCAATCCCTTGTTTCCCGTCAGTAAACAAGTGGAAGGGATGGTTAAGGTCAGGCAGTTGAAGTGGAGGTGCCGTGGACAGAGCAGTGTGTAGGGTTCTGAAAGCTTGTTTTACAACTCCAGGATGAAAGAGGGGTCCCGTGGGTGTGTCCTTAGCTGCCACATATAGAGGTTTAGCTAGAGCGGCAAAGTTAGGTACCCAGTGACGGAAGTATCCTACAAATCCTAAGGAGAGAATCTGGTCCACAGTCTCTGGAGTCTGCAGCGAAAGAAGTGCCTGCCGGCGGTCAGTTGTTAGACTTTTAGTTTTGGGGGTGAGGCGAATGCCTAAGTAGACTACTGAGGTGACTGATAACTGTGCTTTAGGGGGAGATATCCGGTACCCCTTGGATCCAAGAAAGTTAAGGAGAGTGGCAGTATGTTGTTGAGACAGAGAGAGGGAGGGGCTACAAAGTGACAGATCATCCACATACTGGAGAAGGAGACTGGGTTGGAGGGAGCAGGAGTTAAGGTCAGCTGCTAAGTCTTGTCCGAAAATGTGGGGGCTGTCCCTAAATCCCTGGGGGAGGACTGTCCAGGTGAGCTGCTGTGACAGGTTGGTGTCAGGATCGGTCCAGGTGAAGGCAAAAAGGAAGTAAGACTCTGGGTGAAGGGGAATGGTCCAGAACCGTAAAATGAGAGGTAGTGGAGGGAATGTTGGATAATAGCGTATGCGTTGGGGAACATTGGGTGGATGGGTACCACCGCCTCGTTGATGAGGCGCAGGTCCTGAACTAGGCGGTAGTCGCCGGTCGGCTTTCGGACGGGTAAGATAGGAGTATTACAAGGGGAACTGGTGGGGATAAGGAGTCCCTGGGCCAGAATTCGGGTGATGATAGGCTTTAGGCCCTGGCGGTGGGTTTTTGAGATGGGAAACTGAGGACGTGAGGGAAAATGGGTAGAGTTCTTCAGGAGTATTTTAACTGGTGTGTGATGTCTGGCCACCGCAGGCTTGGAGGTATCCCATACTCGGGATTAACTTCATTAGGAGGGATGGGGTTGAGGCAAGGGGTTAAGGCAGGGCGAGATAGCGGTTAGGAGTAGCACTGGGAGGTGGGCAGATGATGAGCCTGTGGGGCAGTTAGGGGGTAGAAACGAATATGGGAAGGTCTTATACCCAACACAGGCAGAAGTACTCCTGCCCCCCGGGGTGGGGGTGGGGTGGCTAAGAGAGCTTACAGGCTGTAACAATGTGACAATGTGACAAGAAAGAAAAAGAGAGGGTGAGGCCTTCGTAGGAGAGGAGGAAGAAAGAAAACAGTTACTTACTTAAGGAGAGCTTATATGCCAAAAGGGCTGATCTGAGAATTTGAGATAGACGTTTTAGTACCATAAGCCAGAGATTTGGTCCTGCTGTTAGGCAGGGTTTACAAACAGGGCTTCTGAATACTTAAACCTCGGCGGCTGCTGCGGAGATGTTCGGAAGGCATCCCGGACTGCCCTGCCAAACACCGGAGAGGGTTCAGGAAGATGGGGACGTCTCCCTCAAATTCCTGACCCCCGGAATCCCCTCACGGGGAGGAGACAAGAGAGTAGGGACGTCTCCTCTACGCTCAAGTCCTCGAGACGAGGCCGTGGACCCCGGGCCCACGGCGAGAAACCAGGAGTCCCTGACGCGGCTGCGGTTACGAGCAGGGAGTCCACGAGAATATGGGAGGGTTCAGGAAGATGGGGACGTCTCCCTCAAATTCCTGACCCCCAGAATCCCCTCACGGGGAGAAGACAAGAGAGTAGGGACGTCTCCGCTACGCTCAGGTCCTCGAGAGGCGGCTGGGGCCCCAGGCCCACGGCGAGACGAGACCAGGGCCCCGGACCCATGGCGAGAAACGAGAAGGAGTCCCTGACGCAGCCGTGATAGCGAGCAGGGAGTCCACGAGGCAGGCAGCGGGAGAGGCTGTGGGTAACAGAAGTCTTACCTTGCGATGGAGCAGTTCCCTGGAGTCAGTTTCCCCCAGGAGGGGTCGTACAACTTCCTCCCAGGTTTCGGCACCACTTGTAAAGTTTATTCTCTGTAGGTTTATTGCCGAGTTAAAAACGAGGAAACTGAGGCCAGCACAGGAAAATTACATGCCAATTTATTCAGCTCCCAGGCGAGGTTCCCAGGGGAAGTCCGTGGTCCCGGGTAGAGGAGCCAGGGAAGTAACGTTGGACTCCTCGCAGGAATGGGATTTTATAGGGAGTGAAGGCGTTTGATTGGATTTGGAGAAACAGGATGTGGACGGGGTGAGCTGCTATTGGTAGGTAGGTGGGATTTCCAAGGCAGGCTAGGTGCCGCGTGCAGAGGGGATTTCCAAGGGTGGGGTTAGGTGCGGAGTGCAGAGGGGATTTCCAAGGGTGGGGTTAGGTGCCGAGTGCAGAGGGGATGTCCAAGGCGGGCTAGGTGCCGAGTGCAGAGGGGATTTCCAAGGGTGGGGTTAGGTGCGGAGTGCAGAGGGAATTTCCAAGGTGGAGCTAGATGATGGGCATATTCTAATAACATAATTTTCAAGCGGGGAGGGAGATGGGCGTGTCCGAACTCCCCGCGAGGCAACCAGCCTTACAGGGACCTGCAGGGTGGGCCTTGGAAACGTGTTTCTAAGTAACACTTAAAACCCTGAGATGTGGGACAGACAGGTGTGGGGCCTATAATGCAGCCTTGTTCTCCATCGCTCTGGTGGCACCCTGTCACCTGCTGATAAAGACTCCTGGCCTACAGGGTGACCCTCACTGCCCTCAGGGCCACTGTTTGCAACAGACGGACAGCCTAGCAGGCCTTGAACCTCATTTTGTAGGTTTCAGGAGTGCCTTAGGGTTCCTTGGTTTTCTGGAGGAATTGGTACAAAGCCGGGACACCCGGGAGCCAGGCTGGAATGGTGTTGGGGGTGGGAGTCAGGGCTGGGTTGGTAGCCCTTTTGTCCAGCCTTTTCCTCCTACCTCCCAGCAGGGAAGCCCCAGTGTGTTTCCATATTCTGGGATATGAAGAGATGAGGAGAAATTGGCACCCTGCCTTGGGCTGCAGACTCGGTATCTATGGCGCTTTGCCCGCTTGAGGCAGATTCACGACTCTGGGCAGGAACCCATAGCTGAATCCCTTCTACCTAGAGGTCAGCACGTGAGGAGCCAGAGGTGAGGCTGGAAAAGGGAGAGGAGGAGTTGGGAAGGAGTCTGAGATCTTCTAGGCCTAGACCTTTCAGCCCCACCTTCCTCAGCCTTCTTGATGGGCAAAGGGTAGCCAGAGGACAGAGATTCTCCCACCCAGAGCCACTCACTGCAAACAGCTGTGTTAGGGAACGTAAGGAGCGTTTACAGGCAGGTGGATGGGGGAGGTGCAGAGTTATTGGTTACAAGGCTCTGTCCACCCTGGAACCCTGAGCCTAGGTTCCGCTCCCCTCAGCCACCCAAGCCTGGCCTTCTGTAAAGCCTTCCGTTACGTTTGGGCGCGGCTGCACACGCCTGGAATCCTGGCACTTTGGGAGGCCGAGGTGAGTGGAGTGTGACTCCTCTGCTTCTCTAAAGACCTCAGCAGAGGCACAGGCCACCTGCTCTCTCCTCCCCTCCCACGGCGTTCCTTGGATTAATCGTGCCTCTGAGGATGTGAGATGTCCCTGTCATGCCTCCATGATGAGTGAATATGTAACCATTGTGACAGCAGAAACTTTCTCTAAACCATTTATTTCTCCCCACCAGAAGGTGGAGACGGGCGAGCCTAGAATACAGGGCGAGGCGGGTTCCCGGGTCGGGCCAGTGCAGACAGTGCAGGGAGAGGCTGGGCGCGGCTCTTAGGCGAAGGTGGAGTTGTTCCAGCCCACGTTTGCCGCGTTCATGTCGTAATAGTTGATGTAGACCCTGCGGAGGGAGAAAGCCAGACTCAGCGGGCGGCTCAGTCAGTCCCCGGCCCCGCCACCTACTGGTCCCCCGCGCCGCCGCCCCTCCGCGCCCCAGCGTACCTGTCCGGGCTGATGCGCAGGCGCTCGGCCAGCAGGCCACACAGTAACTTGCTGTAGGAGCGGTTCTGCGCGCCGCCTATCTTGCCGATGCTGTGCAGGCTGCAGAGCGCGCACGGCTCGCTGGAGCCGCCGAAGGCCATGAGCTGGTCCGGGACCACGTGCACCGCGATGTACTGCGGGGGAGGGGCGCGGTCAGCGAGCCTCAGCTACCTCGCTGGGCCTCGGGCGTCCACTTCGGGCCCTAGCCGCCACCTCCTCCCGCCCTGTCCTCCCGCCCCCTTCGGGAGTCGCCTCCCCAGCCTCCAGCGCAGGGCCCCCTCGTCCAGTGGGCACCCCCTCTTCCCGTCCCCTCCCAACTAACCTGGGGCGGCTTGCCGGTGGCCTGCGCCAGCTGTTGGGTGAGCTCGGAGAGGAACCCGTCCGGCACAGAGGCCCGGGGCACGTTGGTGTTTACGATGAACATCGGCATGATGGCAGAGGGACCAGGAGATCACGCAGAGACACAGCCGCACGCGCCGCTGCCGCGCTGAGCTACGTGCCTGAATTCTCGGACACTGTCCCGCCTTTTGTGACGTCACCGCCGGCGCCAGGCCTCGTCCCCACGAAGCTGCGGCTCCGCCCCGAGTGGAGACGTCACCGCCTGGCTCGGCTCCGCCCTGCGGGACCGAACCGTTGGGCGACTCTAACGGCTCTTCCAGCGACCACCGCTAGGCCCGGCTCACCGTCCCTAGCGGTTCTCCACGTGGCGGCTCGAAATCGGCCTCTCCCGGCCTCGGGTCGTTCTTAGTACTTTCAATAAGTCACCGATGTTAGTCGCCAGGAGGCGCTGTGCCAGAGGTGGGGATGCGGCGGTGAACCCAGAAGATGGCCCCTTCCCCTTCCAGAGATGAAGCCCAGTTCATTCCACTGCACGCCCTGAGCCCTGTACGTCCTGAATCTTCGGGCCACACGTCCCCAAGGGCTCCAGTCCTGCACGCCTGAGCTTGTGTGTTTGAGATGGGGAGGGGCAGTCATTGCTGCAGGTGAGAGGACAGCTGCCCCTGCCAGTCACCATCCAGGGAACTTACCTGAACCCTTGCTCTTCAGAGGATGAGGATGCTGGGAGGTACCAAAGGGAGGGAAGTGAGATCCAGACCAGGTTCAATGTAGGGAACGATAACAAATAACTGAATCTAACATAAAAATTCCACAGTGAAAAAGTCACCAAATTTTGGTAAAATACCCTGTTGAATAATGATGCAGCTATGAATTAGAAAGAGACCTGTATGTACTGATAAGCAATGATCACCAAATTATATTTTATATGGGAAAGTCAGTGAGGGAACAACACACAAAGCAGAATTACATTATGTAAAAATATGGGCATGTCTGCCTGTGTGTAAGTGGATGTGGATGAGTGGGCTGGGAGCTGATGGCGGTACATTTTATTCTACAGACCTAAGCAGTATTTGAATTTTTATAAACAATAGCATATGTGTTTGTTATGTGATTTACTAGAAATAAATTTCTTGAGTTATAAAAAGGTTTATTTTAAACCTATGTAAAAGTACATGAAGATCATCATCATTCAGAATAACAAAATAGAGCAGCAATATAAAGACACAGATACTAAAGTACAATATTAAATACTATAATATTCAAGACGATATTAAAATCATATCTACATCTATATGCATATAAGAATGTCAATAAATATTAATGTCTAAAATTGTAACTTTTGCAGACCTCTGTGAATATATTAGAAACCACTGAATTGTATACTGGATGTGGGTGACATGATATTTGAATTATATCTCAAAGTTCTGTTAAACAATGAATGGCGGCGGGCGCGGTGGCTCACACCTGTAATCCCAGCACTTTGGGAGGCCAAGGCAGGTGGATCACAAAGTCAGGAATTTGAGACCAATATGGATAAACCCCGTCTCTACTAAAAATACAAAATTAGCCAGGCGTGGTGGTGCGTGCCTGTAATCGCAGCTACTCAGGAGGCTGAGGCAGGAGAATCACTTGAACCTGGGAGGCAGAGGTTGCAGTGAGCCGAGATCGCACCACTGCACTCCAGCCCGGGTGACAGAGCAAGACTCTGAAGGCTTGATACTCTAGTGCTAAGTAAGGGATGGTTCTATTTAAAACATAAACTAATAGTTTCCAGTAGATTCCCTTAAAAAGATTATAGCAGGGATTTCCAGATCACCCCTACTCCCACCTTTTTATGACTTTTATGTGACTAAAGGCCCATCTCAATTTCAGAGGGGGGAAATATTTACAAATCATTTATCTTGTACGAGACTAAAATTTAGAATATATTTTAAAACTCCCAAAATCTACAACAAACTAAATAAAAATCAGACAACTCCTTAAAAATGGGCAAAAGACTTGAACATGTATTTCCCCAAGGAAGATACACAAACAGGAAAAGCCTCTCCGGGATGCAACGCCTTTGGGTGGCGGCAGGAGTGGCGGGCCAGGAAACACGGCGGCCGCTCCAATGCTGCGCAGCGGAGGCCGTTAGGTCACAGAGGGCCTGGGAGGGCGGTCTAAGGACGCAGGCAGGCTCGGCTGCCTCTTTAGGCCACAGAGCCGTGCAGATCCGGGTCCCCAGTGACCACTCTGTCCCCATTGGGCGAGACCTACCTAGTCCTGACGACAACGAACAAAGGCCTTAACAGGCCTGGGAGTTGAGTGAAGTTCCGAACCACGACGGGTGGAACGGTTAGCGGCCATCAGGCGGTTAGTCTTCATTCTACCAGAGCTTGCTGTCCGAAGCCAGAAACAGAAGAATGACAGGCCACTTTTGGCCGGTTGGAAATGCCCACCACTCACTGGGAAGATTTACTGGTTGTTTATGGAAGGCCTGTGTATATAATATGAAAAAGCTGCTCTTAACTACACCCCAACCTTTTAATAGAAAACATTTGTCACCTCTAGCTCTTCTAGATGTAAAGAGGTTGCCAACATGTGATAAAGTAGAGTTAGGAAACCACACATCTTGTAAATTCTCATTTGTTTAAAAGAAATCATAGAAAATACATGTCTTCTGGAGATGACTTTTGGAAATTCAGAGTTGTTAGATGGCCTCTGGAAGTAATATGTCTACGTTTGTTGAGTGGATCAGATGACATGGAGCTGAAAGACCTGAGAATATACTAGACTGATCATATTTAGAAGACATTTTCATATTCTAGCCATTGTTTTGTGTGCATTTTATTCCTCACTATTGTCTGTATAGTTGACAGAAGAATAAGGAACTATAAAGGGAGACATGTATGCAGATGTGTCCATGTTTACGTTTTGATGATGGCCATTAACATATGAATCTCTTGTGGCTGTACTATAGGAATATATTAAATCAATGGAAATATACCTTGCTAATATTTTAATGGTATAGATCTCCTAATGAGCTCTCTTAGAAGCATTATACTTATTCTGTTGCTGTATGCTTCATTTTAAATTGAGCATTAAGGGAAGGCAGTATTTAAATCAGAACTCTGCCAATGCTTTTATCTAGAGGTGTGTTGCCGTTTTTGTCTTCTATCAAATTTTTATCCCAAGAAAGACAGGACTACATTTCTTTTTTAACAGACTGAGTTGGTGTAGCATATTTTTGGTTATCAAAATGGTCATATGGCTTTGGGATTTTGAATTGGTAAATATTCATGATGTGTGAAAAATCATGATACATACTGTACAATCTCAGTCCCATAAAAGTGGATGTTGTGCCTACCGACACACAGGACCTAGAAGAACGTGTCAAACTATAAACTGCTTGTGTTTGTGACTTTGTTCTTTGCTTCCTGTGTTTTTCAGTTTCCTCTAATGTACTTAACTTTTTAAAAGTAAAGGTTATTTTAAATTATTATTATTATTATTATTTGAGAAGAGGGGAGGACACAGCTACAGAGGGGCAACAGTGTGAAGACGGAGGCAGAGATGGGGCTGATGCAGCTACCAGGAATGCCAGGGTCGCCTGCAGCCCGTGAAGCCGAAGGGAGGCTCATGGTACTTAATTATGTCAGCCGCAGGACACTCACACACTGTCCTTGGAGTGAAAGTTTTCATTTTAAACATGTGGATCTGTTTGCCAGAATTTCCCCAACACTCCAAACCCAAGCCAGGGTCTAGGCAGGGTAGTGGCTTTCACAGGACCCCATCTGTGCTGGTGGCTTCTCCATGCCCCGGACACCTTGCGTTCCCCCCTCTCTAATCCCTGACAAGCCACACATGATGGGGAAAATATTTTGGAGATCTATAAAACAATCATTTAAAAATCACATTGCTTTGGAAAGCAAAGGGTAAAAAATCTTTTTTTTTATTTCAAATTTAAATACAACCATCATGTTTTATGTATTAATTAGCAAACATTCAAAAAAGAATCTATATTTTCACCTTTGTCATCTTTTTCTCAATACTGAAAAATGCAGTCTGATATGACTTAAACTTATTTCAATTCAAGGATAAATGGAGGGGGAGTTATGACCATGTTGGTATTGGCCAGGGCTGGGAGAGGAGTGGTGGTCCTGTGTCTTTTGAAATAATATTGTAGTTAGTTTCTATTTCCTCCATTCAAGAACAATTACTAGAAAAAAAAAAAAAACTAGAAATATACAAAGTCATTGCCCTGAGATAAAACACAGGATTGATAACAGTTATTTAAACTTTGACGACTATTAAACCAGTTTTGACTTTCCTTTAATAGCACTTTTAAAGTGCTCTCAGTACTTTGAGACTCAGAGGTTTCCTCATCTCTGCTTGGATATTAAACATCAAGACCATAAGCTATGATCTGTTGCTCCTGGGAGAAAGAAGGCGTCAGAGATAGAGGGAAGGGCAAGAAATCACTGTGAAAGCGATGAGAAGGAAGAGACAGCTCTCGAGGACCTCCAGGGCAGCTGGACCCTAAGTCACTTGCTCTCACACTGATGTTGGTGCCCAGAACTCACTAACACTTCAGATCTGCAGCAAGAATGTATATGATGTTTAAATTTTTTGTTTGTACCATATGTGTTAAAACATGCCTTTTCTAGTGAGTTTTCATTATAATCTTTTCATTTATAGTCCATCATAATATAAATATATGCTGTGTTTTGATACATAATTATTTTTAAAAAAATGAATGAAGGAGAGGAAGAAAGAGGAAGAGAAGGTTATTTTAAAAACATGTATTAAGCCCTTGTTGCTTGTAGAATAAAGTTTGTATACTCCACAGGAAAAAAAAATAGAAAATGAGTGTGGATAAGGATGTAAAGAAATTGTAGCCCTGATACATAGCTGGCAGAAAGGGATAAAGTTGCAGCCACTGTGAAAAACAGTTTGCAGTGGCTTGGAAGGATAAATATGGAACTCCCATTGGACCCAGGAATTCTAGTCTTAGGTATATACCCCAAATAATAGAAAACAGAAATCAAACAGGTATTTCTATACTAATGTTTATAGCATCACTTTTCACAGGCACCAAAAGATGGAAATAACCCAACTTTCAGTGAACAAATGAACGTAACTAAAACAAGGTGGTCTACAGGCAATGGTGCATCATCCACCTGTAAAAAAGGAACACAGTTTTGATAGACGACACAACATAGGTGGACACTGAAAACATTACGCTTAGTGAAATATGCCAGGCACAAAAGGAATATCTTGTATAATTGTACTTACATGAAGTGCCTAGAATAATCAGATTCATACAAGAGAAACTGGGATAGGAATTACCATGGGCTGGAAATAAGAGAAGGTGCTATATTGCTTATTGCATACAAGGTTTTGTAAGAATCAAAATTTGGGGTGTAGACAATGGTGTTGGTTATGCAACACTGTGAATATATTGAATGCCACTAGTGCACACTTTGGTTAAAAGGTTACAATGATGAATATTGTGTTATGTATATTTTCCCACAATAGAAAACACACACAGCCAAGCCCAGCTGCCAGACTTGCTGGCTGTCTTCCCTTACCTTCAAGAGTGGGCTGAAGGTCCTCTAGTCTCTCAGGGAGGTTGGGAATTCTGTTATTGAAGAACTCTGCGTTGGAAGAGAAATTAATGGAGACAGGAGAAAACTTGAGAATCCAAACGACTCACTCCGCAGGGTCAAGAACTCTCTGCCCCGTGCATTGCTGATCTATCCCAATATTTCCTGCAACCAC